AAACCCCAAAACCCCAAAACCCCAAAACCCCAAAACCCCATTGTTAAGGATGTCCATTGAATTATTAAATATAAAAATCTAGCTATAAATAAAATGAACGAGTTTGGATATGTTTGACTTACTTCAAATAGTTTTGTAACAAAAGTGGTAAAATAAAGTTTTAATTCAGAAAAGTAAGCTAAGAGTAGAGAAATAGGAGGAAAATTATTAGTAGTTTTGGAGGAATAGGGACTTTTGGTGAATAAGAATAAAAATTTGAATATATGAGCTATTGAGCAATTGGGGTAATTTTACCGACTCTTCGAACATTGGTGCTCATGGCAATCGAAGAGGAAGCTGGAGTGTCTTCAGGATTTGTGGTCATAGAATTTGTAGGGAATTTTACAAGATGGATATCTGAGGTAGCAATTGTATTGCTACCATCGAATTTTCTGGCGTTGATCTATGGGTTTATGCGAAATTTACCTTTGGAGGGATTATTTGAGGGATTTCAAAAGTATCTGGCTTTTTCTTACAACAAAATTTTCTGCAAAGCTGAGCGATTCCGAACACTATGGGTTGTTTAAAAGCTTACATGTTATTAATAAAACAATGACGATGTTATTAAGCATTATAACATAAATATAAATTTTGGTTGGCATTCCCTCCCATGTTTGCTTTGTATTATGCCTTAGCAAATATGCTACTAAAAACAGATAAAAATTTTCATTGAGTCCTTCTATCAAATTATTGGCGCATTCTTTAAACGGCCTAATAGTGATTATAAAGCCAGTGTACAATATTTGAAGAAGTAGCATTCCAGGCACTAAATAAAAGTAGCCTGTGAACGAGAACATGATCAGCCAAGTTCAATACACAATTCTTCTCAGTAACAGAAGAGGTGTAAAAAGTCTAGCTTTGTTGCAGTCTTTAAGCCCAGATATGAATTCTTTTGATTTAAAGTGCTTATTTGGCTCAATTTCACGATTTACTTGCTTTAAAGCCCAATATAGCATAAGAAGCAGGAATCATAAGAATAGTGAAGCAGTTACAGTTGAGACTATAACATGAATTGAGGATGGCGTGAAGTTCTTTACTTCATTTAAACACGATAATAGAATACTTTGGTATGCTTCTATTGTCAGCCGAATATATACTCCAAATGTCAAAATTTTCCAGATCCATCCAATAAATTTGAGGGTTATCTCTTTTCAGTCTCTAGGATCATCATCGTCAATAGTCCTGGGGAGAAGGCTCCAAAAGAAATGAAAAGAGAGTATCATCAGAATTGTTCATATCATCCCAAAATTGTTGTTGAAAGAGCTTCCTGACTCGATTCCCATGTCTTTGAGACCAATGTTTGTTTGGTTTTGTTTTAGCCAATCTAAAGGCATTTTTGAAATGAAGTTATTGTAAACAGGAAGGAAATTCATGCTGAATGAAAATAGTTTGTTATTGGAGATATATCCGACTACATCTGCCGGCAAAGAAGTCTGAGTAAGAAGAAGAAGCAGTAGAAGTTGCATTTGATTTGCCATAGACCAAATAGCCATAGGTGATGAAGCGTTAAGTAGAGAAATTAGAGTTGCAATGATAGAGCCAGCTCCAGATACAGCTTGCGACCCGCTCGATAGAGTTTGCACTTCTTGAGTTACAGCAACGTATCTTCATTGCTTATTGTCAAGAAGCTGATATCCAGTTTCACATGTTTGACATTTTGAGCCAGTATCAGGCTCACACTCTGAACATCCTTCTACAACTCATATAATTTTTCATGTACTTGGAGTCGTGAGAGAAGCTCCAGTTCAATTCCATTCAGACTCGATTTTTCAGTTCTCGTCACAACCATCTCCATTTTGATCATTGCCATCATCTCAATATATTGCTTGATTTAAGTCTGAGAGAACTATTCCATTACCACAAATAACACTTCATATATCAGGTTCATTCAATGAACCTCCAACTCATTCATAATCCTCTTCAATATTAAGACATGATGAATCTCAGCCATCATCAGAATCTGTGTTTCCATCATCACAAATTTCAACTGAGAGCTTGATGCCGTCACCTCAGATAGGAGATCATGTATCTTGAGAAGTTGGAGATCCTTCAATACAGGAGTATCCAGTTTCAATGAGTCAAGAAGAATCTCAGCCATCACCATCATCTGTATCATTATCATCTCATTGCTCACCACCAACCTTCAATCCATCCCCACAAATAGGCTCTCATATGTCAGCTTGAGACACTGATCCTCCAGTGCAGCTGTAGCCTGTCTCTATAACACAAGTACTAGAACATCCGTTCCCTCCAATAAGATCGTTGTCATCTCAAGCCTCTGTTCCAACCTTCTTTCCATCTCCACATATTTCACTGCAAGTGTCAGCTGATGTTGGAGTTCCGCCAGTACAACTGTATCCAGTCTCAATGTTTCAAGTAGAGTCTCAACCGTCACTATTGTTAATATCACTGTCATCTCATTGCTCAGTTCCTATTTTTAGTCCATCTCCTCAAATTGGGGATCAAGTATCTCCTCCAGAATTTGATCCTCCAGTACAGCTGTAGCCTATCTCAATCATACAAGTACTCGAACACCCGTTTCCATCATTAAGGTCGCTGTCATCTCATGACTCTGTTCCAACTTTCATACCATCTCCACATATTTCACTGCAAGTGTCAACTGATGTTGGAGTTCCGCCAGTACAACTGTACCCAGTCTCAACGTTTCAAGTAGAGTCTCAACCGTCATTATTGTTAATATCACTGTCATCTCATTGTTCAGTTCCTATTCTAAGTCCATCTCCGCAGATTGGATTTCATGTATCAGCTCCAGAGCTTGATCCTCCAGTGCAGCTGTAGCCTGTTTCTATTTCTCAATTGCCTGAGCATCCATCACCATCATCCTCATCATGATCATCACATTCTTCACTGCCTACTTTCTTTCCATCTCCACAAATTTCAGTGCAAGTGTCTGCTGCACTTGGGGTTCCTCCTGAACAGCTGTAGCCGTCTTCAATATTACAATTAGAGTCTCATCCATCGCCATTATCGATGTTATTGTCTTCACACGCTTCATTGCCTATTTTGAGACCATCTCCTCAAATTGGTTGTCAAATATCTTTGGTGATGTCGGATCCACCAGTGCAAGAATACCCTATTTCCACTGTGCAGCTAGATGATCATCCATCATCATCTTGGTTGTTTTGATCATCACATTGTTCGCCAGATGTTTTAAGTCCATCTCCGCAACTAGTGTATCAGTTATCTGGATTAGAAGAAGTTCCTCCAAAGCAAGTATATCCAGTTTCAATTATTCATGTTGAACTTCATCCATCGTTATTTTGATCATTGCCATCATCTCAATGTTCTGTCCCTACTTTTAATCCATCACCTCATATCGGGGCTCAAGTATCTTCTTGAGAAGTCGATCCTCCAGTACAAGAATATCCAGTTTCAACACTTCAAGTAACTGATCAGCCATCTCCATTACTTTTATTACCATCATCACAAGCTTCACTTGCTAATTTTATGCCATCACCACAAACTTTTGAGCAAACGTCAGCCAAGTTAAAAGATCCTCCTGAGCAGTTATAACCTGTCTCAATTTCTCAGTCTGAGTTACATCCATCCCCATTTTGAATATCATCATCATCTCACTGCTCTGGAGAGATTTTTCGACCATCACCTCAAATAGGATTTCAAACATCAGCCTGAGAGGGTGATCCTCCAGAGCAATTGTACCCAGTATTAATAGTTCAAGAGTTTGAACACCCATTATTATCATTATGATCTCCATCATCTCATATTTCACCTCCCATTTTCTTTCCATCTCCACAAGTCAAGCTGCAAGTGTCTTTTGAATTTGAATTCCCACCTGATCAATTATACCCAGATTCAATTTCTCAATCAGAATCTCAGCCATCATTATTGTTAGTGTTATGATCATCACATTCTTCTGTTCCGATCCTTAATCCATCACCTCATATTGGAGTTCAAATATCAGGAGAAGTATTTGATCCTCCAGTGCAATCATATCCTAACTCAACTTCTCAAGTGGCGTCACATCCATCTCCATTGATCTTGTTTCCATCATCTCATTCTTCTGGATGATATCTTCTTCCACTCCCTCAAACCTGTAAATTTCCTACAAAATAATTTTATCTCTTACTATTTTTGGTCAATATAAACTTTAATCAATTTGACAGTGAAGTCATTTGGGCATGATGGAGAACACGTGATCCCTAAAAATTACTAATGCTTTTACTTTCTGTCAGAAATACTCTCTCGGCTTTCTGATTTGAGGAATCCTGAAAACCATGCTTAATAATCTTACCATGCTCCCAAAATGAAGGACCAATGAAATATATTCAGAGCTATTCTGAAAGTTTAGATTGCTGAGCTCCATTTCAATCGTAATTGGCAACCCCTCTGTAGCTTCAAATGAGGCTGATAGAAATAAAAAGCTGTATTTAGTGATTTAAGATACCTCTCGTTGCTAAATGAAAGTCCTCTTGAAGAGATCTCTGGCCGGTTTTGAATAGTTTCTAAAAATTATTTATTTTAATACCTGGCATAACTAGCATTGGGTTTTTTGAGCAGCCTTCTGTAGATCATATCTTTTGAGTTCCTTGAGATAGCCCATTCAGAGGATACATCGCTAGCAACTCTGCTCTTATCAAGCTCAAAAAAGCAATTGCAAGCAGCATAATCTTGCTGCCTGAAAGCATAGTAATAACCTAAAACACCATTTTAGGGTTTAACATTTATTATTAACTTTAGTAACATTACAGAGGTGTATTTCCAAAAAAATTTTAACACTAAATTTTCCATCATTTAAAGGGAATACGTCAGACCCAAAATTGGCAATTGGCAGGCATGCCAAAGAGCTAAGAATGATATAGAAATCAAATTGTGTATACTTTCAAAATCTCTTGAGCTTTTAGAAATTTAAATTGACTGGATTGACAGAGTTTAGAGAAGAGAATCTGAACTGAATGGGAAAGCATCAGAATTTAAAATACCTTTATCACAGAAAATGCCAATGATAATTTTGGACTTCAGCAAGTTTAGGAATACTATGATGCTGAGGTTCATTGCTTGATAAGACATTAGCAAAGCTTATATTTCATTAACTAAAGCAGAATTTTGGGAGTACGATTTTTTGAAATGCATGTTTGTCTTTCTTGGTCTTTGAAAGACTTTATTTTTACTAGTATTAGGTATTATTAATTTCAGAAAAAATTAGAAATTATCAGAAAATTTTAGGAAAATATTGAAAAATTTGGGAAATCTTTCTGAAAAACTACTCACTTGGAGCCTAAAATTTAATAATTTTAACTGTTAGCTTAAAGAGTACTCAAATTAATCATACAGATAAGTTATTCTTGCCTCATTATATTTTAACAGAGAATTGAAGAAGATTTTGAATGACATTTTTACCTTCATTTTCGAATTTATTAATCGATTTATTTAAGATAATTAGATATTATTTCAGCTTCTTCAGCTTTATTAGGGGTTTTGGGGTTTTGGGGTTTTGGGG